CATAAATTAGATCAAGAGCAAGACTGCGAAGCCAAAACCAATTTTGCTCATTATTAATCTGCGTTTTCAAATGAAATATTTTATGGGTTAGATAGGGTCTGGTAGTTTCAATAAATTTCTGACTAAGAACTTAAAATAAAGTTTTTATTAAAGTAGTTTGCGTGCCTACTACGTACCTATATATCTACGCTTTCGAGTTCAGTTAGGTTAGGTTAGGTTAGGTAAGGTAAGTTGATACCGAAATAAGACCTTGTCTAACGCATAAAATACTTTATAAGCAAAAAGACTCCACTACTACTTCTTTTACTTGGATATCATATAAACTCGCTCTTTAGAAGCATCAGTAAGACAGAACGGGTTAGCCTAGGTTTTTGGACTATTGCTTGGCATTCGGGAGGACATCGGTTCGATTTCGGGTCCGCCTGCCCTAGTCCAATTTTTTCTGTGGTTTCTTTGGATCACTTGGGTAAATGCTGGGGCAGTAATATTCCATCGATAAATAATATCTTTCACCCTTGTCTGTCTTCATTTCGCCCGTCTCATCTCTCTCGCCTCAACTATCATCCACCGATTCCCACGATTCCTAAAAGGAGGCTGAAGAGGGTCTTCCGCTCTGCCCTTCGACGTAGTGAGACTACTAACCCTGCTTTCACACAGACGGTTTTCTAACGGCAACCGTGCTGTGCCGTGCCGTGCCGTAATTTCATTTTGCTTTGCGTTCACACTGCACACGGTTTTTCACTTCGGAATTAGTTTTNTGAAGAAAGGCGCCCGCGGCTAGTCGGCGAATCGATAAGCCGCTCACACACACGTATGCCCGATCGCACACAAACACGCTCGTGCTCGCTACACTATTTTAAGCACAGTTGGATGTTACATATATTAAGTGCATCCAATAAAGCGAAAAAAGGTTCTGTAGGCTTCATATTATACTTTCTACTGCAAACATGTACAATGCTTATGCAGCATAAAATTCAAAAGGTACTTTGTATAAAGAAACTGTAGCGAAATAAGAAAAGAATGTTGAGAATTGGTTCACCAAATGTTAATACATCATACGAAATATCCAATCAATACGTTGTCAGAACACAACATGCAATTAATCCACTTCCAAGTCTATTTATAAGTCGATTCTGTTTAAAACCAAATTATAAAGAATCCACTAGAATAACGATTATTTTAAATAAACACGACAATCAACACATTAGGAGTCTTTTATTATTACTCCTGAACCAACGAGAGGCGGCCCCTGACTTTTTCACTTACGGCGCAGATCATAAACAAGAACTTCATTCGGCTAGAAAAACAAGGTGTCTCTCACGCTCAGGAGAAATATCAAAATCAAGGGGTTGATCTTTGGAAACGCACTCTTTACTGCAACTTTATGTGCTTTTATTCTGTTTATTTAGTCGTCCACTATATTATTGATTATGAAAATTACAATTACAATTAAGCTGAAGATCACCATCATAAGGTCCTCAGTCTGACTAAACCTTCGTGCCTGAGAAGATGTCCTACCAACCTACGTCGCCTATTTCTTATTGACTTCCATGGAGTCCTCTGTTCTCCTATTCTTTCTAATATGTTTTCATTTATAACCTTCTCTATTCACGGTATCCTCATCAGTTTTATTTTCCGCAGCACCCACCGTGCATATTTTGCACCCGTACAGCGCCGCACTCCAAATATACACCTTTAACAATCTTTTTCGGATTTCTAAATTAACCTTTTGCGAGCATAGAAGTGACATATTCTTATCGAAGGCGACTACCCTGCACTATCCTTTGCTTTATATCCCTACTACTCCTTTCGTCCTGACTTATTTGATTTCCCAGATACCTAAAACCAGCTACTTCTAATATTTCGTCTCATATCTTTATATTCGCTCTTTCCCTACTTTTTCTTCCCTTGCATACTAGTATTTTTGTTTTACTTTTATTTATTTTCATACAGTACTGTTTTGTGAATAGCGCTTCCATTTTATTTAAAGCTATCTCTAACTCGTCCTTGTTAGATTTTAATACTGCTATATCATCTGCAAATCTAGGCATGCTAATCTTTTTCCCCTGTATATCTATTCCTTCAGTTATATTGTCTTTAATGATGTTGTTCGCGTCTTCGGTGTGTAGATATAAATGTAGCACGGACAGTGTGCATCCCAGTTTGACTTCCTTTCTAATATTTACTTCTCTACGTTGCACCCCCAGCTCTATAAATGCCTGTTGCTCTTTATACAAACTAAGTATCACTCTTCTATCTCTATAACTCATCCCTATATTTTTAAGTATATTTAACAACTTGTCCCATTTAACTTTGTCAAAAGCTTTTCCTAAATCTACAAATTCTATGTACGGACTGTTTCCTTTTTCTATCGTTTTCTCTATTGTTACCCGTAATGCTAGAATGGTCTCCCGCGTTCCTCTATTTCTTCTGAACCCAAATTGATCTTCCCCTAATTGTTCTTCCGCCCTTTTTTCCATCCTCCTCTGTACAATTGTAATTAAGATTTCTGACGCATGGGAAGTTAAACTAATTGTTCTATTTGTATAGCACCTATCCGCGGCTCTATTTTTAAGTACGTTCAATTTACAATCCTCTGGACTTTCCCCGTCTTGTAAATGCGACTAACTAGCTTAAACATACGATCTCTAACCTTTTGTCCTGCATGTTTTAGAATTTCCCCATGTATCCCATCTATACCTGGCGCCTTATTATTTAAAGCTGAAGATATAAAGATACTATCTTTAATTCAACTAGTACGGTAGTTACTAAGATCAATTTNATATTTTCACAGAGAATAATAATAATAATAGAAAGACAGATACAAAAGAATTCGAGTAGAAATATTTACAAAAGGGTGTAATATAATGTTTAGTCAAATATATGTTTTAAATTAAATATAGCGGTGTTATTATCCGCCACACTATATAATTTCTTCTGTTAACTGCGCAATTCAGAGAGAAAAACGATCCTGAAAACAATTTTTGCGGCACGTGTGAATACTTCTATACACTTGCTTGTCTTACTGTTGCCGTGCACGGCTACGGCGCCGTGCCGTTGCAGTGCCCATGCCGTGCTGTACGGCTCCGGCAGCAAACCGTGTTGTGTGAAAGCTTGCATATAAACCAATGTATTACTATTATACACGGCACCGTTGCCGTGCACGGCCACGGCAAAAAACCGTCTGTGTGAAAGCAGGGTTATACTCTGTGCATTTAAAATACATGTAATAAAAAAAACAGGATCTCCCTACGGTCGGTTAAACTTTTCTATGTGGAAAATCTCTTATGTACTGCTAATTGTGGTGTTAATTTCATATGATTGTCAAGTATNCAAGACTCTTGTTTAAAGATATAATTCCAACCAGGCAGTTGTAAAGCCGACCCTGATCTTTAGCGTACCTAAACAACCACTAACCGCTATTACTATTATTCAGTTATGTTTTTTTTTTCACTTTGTCTGTACTCCTCATGAAGCATTTCCTAACATAGCAAGGACGTGTTCAAAATGCAGCAAATGACTACAGTCCCAAGTGGGAACAAGAAAGAAGATTCTCACAGATAAATAATTTATTGCGGACTTTGCCCGTTTTGATCGTCCTAATTAGAGATGACCACGCAAACCAAATTGATAATGAATATTTGGTGGTGTCGATCAAGAATTGAATGTCTTTTACTATTATACGTGTAATAAAGATTAATTAATTAATATCATCTTATTGCACATCAACAATGCACTCTTCTATACTTCAACTTATTTAAGATATAAANATTCCACAAAGACGAGGGCCTCGCAAAAATTTACCCGCCCGGAACCTTCTAATGACTAAGGCCGCCCCTGATTACGAAAGCGTTCTAAGAACTTTTTGGAATCTTCCATAATTTTCAAGATTTGTCCAGTCTGATGTGTGTATGTGTATTGTGGATATATGAGTGTGGGATTTCGGGACGTCCATCGGCCACCGATTTACATCAGTAAGTGAAAATGTAACTACTACAATTTTTTTTAATGTTTCTAGGACGATCCTCAGTAAAAATTTCCGAGAATTTATGAAACAAAAATTAAAAACGAGAAATTTGTGGGTCTCAAGTTAGGTAAATAGTGAAAGATGAAATACCTACCTGACAATATGGTAAATGAAACTGAATTATGAACTTAGAATGCTTTTTAATCAATTGTTGCTAATTTTTATGGAAATGTGAAAACTGTCAATTACGAAGATATTACTTAATAGATACTACATAAAGGAATGGGAAAGGCTACAACAAAAAATACGTCCATCATTAGCCAAATTTTCGGTAGTTGTAATTAATAAAGCTAGTTTTTTCTGCTTTAAATTATCCATTGTTTGCCTTAATCGTTTTAAAGATACCTATATCATCCGGTTTTGATTGATATCTCAAGCAATTAAAGTAAATGCTTCGTAATAAATGAGCTATAATGTCTGCAAGCGTTAACGTTAATTAAATTCTTGGTCGATTCGGAATGCAATCAATATATTGCGACAGTTTATTTCATATTTAAGAAGTTAGTGTAGGTACAATATGTCCCAGACAGATATACGAGGAGAAATTATGGAAAAAAGCACTTAAACTCTACCTCATTCAGAATAAAAATACGGACGTTCAAATTTTGTTTTAAATGCTGATATTTTTTTAAATGAATTTACTAAAATTCAAATTGGTGGTCTTTTATTTTTATATATTTACGATTTACTGATTTTATGTTAAAAAAGTGCAAAACCATCTATAGTTATTTTTATAAGGGATAAGGATAAAATTAGAAANTAATAATGTTCGTGTGCAAAATGTGTACTATATTGGTAAATGCATATTATTATAGAATAGTAAAATAATATCTTTTATTTCTCTCCATTTAACGACCACTCTTTATAACGCCGAAAAATGTTCAGTCCCTTAAGTGTCGTTATATAGAGTTTACACTGTAATTTCAAGCAAAACATATAAGACATTCATAATTCGTGTTTTTTTTTTTTACAGTTATGCACCATTCCTTGAAGAAAATGGAACGGCAAATTCTTCAAAAGACATGTTTTCGAACCTCACCGAATCATCGAACAGTGTTGTGTTTCCGGCTTACATTCGTATCACTTCGATGATCTTTTGTGTTATAATTATGTGCCTGGGAGTGATCGGAAATATCATGGTGCCAGTGGTTATTTTCAAAACAAAAGACATGCGGAACAGTACGAATATTTTTTTAGTGAACTTAAGCATCGCCGACTTGATGGTGCTTCTCGTTTGTACACCTACTGTTTTGGTGGAAGTCAATTCGAAACCAGAAACGTGGGTTTTAGGAGAAGAAATGTGTAAGTGATTTTCGAATTAATTTTTCTTTACGCTTTACGTATTCTTCAAATGTTCAGTATACCTTAGCATTAGCTCTGCAGGGTAACCTCATAACTACAGTAGATTTCAGGTATAACGACGACGAAGTTACCACTGTATTTCGTCGTTATATCCGGAAGTAGTTACAGGCAAAGGTAAAGAGATGCAGACACGTATAAATCTGCATCTAGGGGTCATACTTATTCAAACAACAGTTGTCACTCAGAATATCACTTTGTAACTGAACCATTTTACCTACCTACCTGGCTAACATCTATGAACAAACGGTAAAGGTCACTACACTTGCTGACCATCTGTGTAGATGCAAACAAATGATAAGAAAGGTCTTTGCGTCTTTGGCAGCCGATTCCGGTCGCTATAACTGCATGGGATTATCAGGGATTTATTACAAATGATTCGTTAAAAACAGTCGTCACACCCGAACTCGGCGTTACATCCGAAGTCACTATAGCCACATGAATTTGTTACTAAAGTATGCTTTAAATTCAAGGGACTTGATGTCGTTATAGCAAAATGGTCGCTATAACCAAGGTCATAATAAATGAAACCCACTGTATCTTTAACATCTACGATGTTTGACTTTGAAATGTTTATTAAGTCAATAATACAAACTTCCATTAATTTTTTTTCTTTAAAACTTCGTTTGATATAGATGGCAGACGGTACTTGAACTTAACTTAATATACTAAAGCTGAAAAAAACAATATTCATCAATACTACACATAAAATCAATTAATATTCATCAATTAATATAATATATGGAGTCAACCAGAATCCAGTCTCTCAATAATTAACAAATATTTAACTCTAGTTACGGTCTTGTTAAACTGTAATGCCCATCTCATGCGCTGATCAAATATTAGTCTTAAACATTTAGTATATTCAACTTTTTGAGTGGGTACATCATTTATACATAACTGATCTGATAATTTCCTGGACAAATAGAGAAGGTTATATAAACTGTCTTATCAGTATTAATAGTTAACTTGTTTTCAAATAGTCAAAAGGCAATTCGTTTATGCATCTGTAAGCTTCATTCCAATATTTGTCGGAGTAAATTAAAATAGTATAATCCTTATATGAAATTATCCTTCCCGGCAGTGCAAGGTCAAAAATATCATTAATAGTAAGGTGACCATACGTCCCAGATTAGCCGGGACAATCAGGTTTTTTGTCCAGGATTGTCCCGAATTTTTGAAAAGGTTCTTATTTTCAAAATTTATTTTAAATTTTTTTCAACTAAAATTATTTTTACAAAATTTGAACCGAAAAAATTGTACATATCAAAATACACGGCACGCTTTAAACCATTTGAAGCATATAGTGAACTCTCGATTCTGCGAATCCCCTTCCACCTAACGTACAGAGACACGATGTGTAGCGTAGGCGTCGGAAACCAGTGCTTCGTTACACATTTTGTATCTGAGCGTTAGGTGGAAGAAGAAACGCAGAATCGTGGTAGTTGTACAATATGGAGAGATCTTAGCCGTTTGTTATGCATAATTTTTATTAAAAAAATCATATTTAAGTTATTTAACTTAACTACCGCTCCCCCGCTACAAGTTCCCGTCCCGGATCTGAAATAAAAAAATATGGTCACCTTACTAATATTATTACAATCTAATGGTCAATATTTTTAACGCTGACTGTGTCCCTGTACGCCAATAATCCGTATGTTCATTACGAATAATGAATATTGTGGTATGATCATTTTTTAATGATACCATTTATCTAAAATTGACTTAAACATATAGTAGTATTAAGCTAACGTGCCTATCACGTTGAGGTTGGCTACGCCAGGATTCGTTTTCAGCAAGTAGATATCCACACGTGTACACGTGCGCGTGTGCGCATGTCCGGGTTGATAATGAAAGGCAAAACCTACTACAGAAAGGAACAAGACACTAAGGGGATTCCACATTGATTTTCTTTCTTGCGTATGCGTATTATCCCTATTATCTGTTATGACCATATAGAAGCATTGAAGCATAACATAACCTGCAATAATAGGTCCGATATATTTAATAATAATGATGTCGATCCAGCATTAGGACATTGACTAAATTGTCTTAAGAAAAGTCACGTAAGTAACAACTGTAGGTTGTCAGGGTGTAAGAAGTGTAATCGAAAGCATAATACATTACTTCATTATGATAAACGTAAGAGTGTAGAGTCTAAAACAATAAGAGAAAATAAGCAATCAGTGGCAAGGTTAATTAAAGCTAAAGGGACTAGTACATCAAATAATAAAACGTCTGGAGAATGTAAGCACTTTAGAGCCAATAACAACGATGAAATCATTATTTAGTGAACATACTTAGAGGTTTTGTTTTCAATTGCATTGGTACAAGGTATTGGTTGCGATAATAAATTACATATTTGTAGTATTCTAGACAATGGGTCTCAATAAAATCCAATAACAAATGAGTGTTACGAGAAATTAGGTAAAGAATAAAATGAATCTTATGGGCGTACTTACTGAATCTAGGGTTCGTCCTACGCTTGTTTTTTATAACATAGAAGTGGACTATGCAGATTCTCTACACACACAAAATAAATATAGACGTGGCGCAAAAAAGATATATTGCACTCTTTGTGTGTCTATCAATCAAACCAATACGTAGAAGTAATATCAGAATTAACTACCGACGCCTTTCTAGTAACTTTTAGAAGTTTTGTGTCACCACGGGGAAAACGATATTGCATTCTCTC